TGTGACAACCAATCAACTCGTGCCAAGGCTCATTCAAGCACAAAAAATCAGATCTTGCCTATATTTGGAAACATGGTTATGGTGATCAAAATCAAATCCTAATTCTTCAATACACAAGGATATTGGCCCATGTTTTGACCTAGAATCATTCCCTTATATGCAAGCAAGCCTCACAAACCTAATTCACGCACAAAACCTTGCAGAAACGGCCATACCAATTTGGTGAAAAACCTTTAAAAGTGTGAGATCGAAAACCACCTTGGAGGCGGATTCAGGCCAAAAGAACAATGCAACTTTCTTCCTTGACATCAAGTGGTGCTATACCCAGTGAAACCAAGCCTTTTCATCACCTACATCTCACTGTAAGTCATCACGAGTTGACCTCTGAACATGGAATCCAAACTTCCAGTTCTTGCATCTTTTCTTCAAAATATTGGCATATTCATGTTTGTTATTTGATGTAGAACATTTTTGCATTATTCAATTTCATTGTTGGACCCTGTATCATGATGCTCGAACCTAGGGTTCATGTTCTTGTGTTTTAGCCGTTTTTCAATTAGGCAAAATCAAGATGAATGGTGGTTACAGGGATGATGAGGAGACAGAGACGAGCACGTCCATGTGCTTGGATTGGATTTTTATGGCCTAGGACGAGTTTTTGGAACATCCTACGAAACCCCCTGCGGATAAAAATCCGCAGGTAAATTACCAGAGTTTTTGAAGAAGACGACCAGACGTCGCCCTCCCATTGGTCTATTTGAAATTACGCGCTTTTATTTTATTTTTCCAGGCGTATTAGTTTGTTTCATATATAATAGTTGCTTCTTATTCCTATAACAATTGAAGCAGCTTGGTTGGGTGGTAAGCGCGTTGGCATATGAGCATTGGGACCTGGGTTTGAATCCCAGGTCCCCTAAAACCTTGTTTATTTTTCTTCTTCAGGTATTCCCATGTAACGTTCAAAGAGTGGACCACTATGCGCTTGCAGATCTGGAAGGCTACGTGGCTTGCAAAACAGATCCAATGGTCTAGATGGAAGGACTACCATAGGCCAGAGTCAACATACGCGTGGACAATCTGAAAAGTCAAGCAGGCTGAACATTAATGGGCCAAGAATTTCCAGATTCACCACAAAGTTGGGCCCAACACCCCCCCTGAGTTTTCTTATATTTTTATTTTTACTTCTTTTCATTATTTTTTATTGCCTTTTATTATTATTATTAAAAACTAATTAATTAATTAACAAACTAACCTTTTTTTTTTATAAAATCAGAAAACACCAAAAATAATATTTATTAATTTCATTATTTATTTTTGTAAATAAAAATTAACCAATTAATTTAGTTCTAAATTAGGTTTAATGATAATATTTTTTGCAATAAATTAAAAGTAAATTAGAATATTAGGTTTTAACAATTTTAATCATTTTTATTTTTATTTCCTTAAATATTCTAAAAAACCCAAAAAAATATATTTTTTTATTTAATTAATTAATTAACTTAGATTTAATTTCCGTTTAATTCAAAATAACAAAAATATGCTTTCTTTAATAAAAAGGGTCAAAACCCTAAAAACTCCGATTCAATTTTTCTCGCGCGTATTATTTTTTTATTCATATTCCATATAATTGTAACTACTTCAAGGATGTAATAGTTTTAACTTAGGACCTTTTATCGCTTTTATTTACTTTTCCGAATTTACTTTTCAAGGGTTTGTTTTTGGCGATGTAAATACCCGGCGCCTTGTAATAGCTTAGTTTTATTTTCCGCAACCATTAACTGCTAGATGTATGAATAATAGGCTATGCGTGACAAGATCTATCTTAACTTAAAATCAACCGTAGCTCACCACAGGGGCGGATGTACGTTTAGGCTAGGTGTGGCTATAGCCACACCAGATTTTTTTTCCTAATATTAATATATATTTAATTAATTAATTAATTTTAATATTTAATATTATATAACTCTTCAACTCACTTTTATCTCTTAATTTTCTCTCTCTTTTATTTCTTTCTCTCTCACACAGTAAACCCTTTCTCTTCTTCTCAAACCCCACCAACTTCTATATTTGTCTCTTTCTCTCATTAATCCAATAACCCCACCATTTTGCATTGTTTATGGGTGATTGAAAATCAAAGGTAAACTAACTACTTCAAAATTTTCTTATTCTTTTGTTCTATTTGAGTTGAACCCTAAAACCCCAATTTGTTTTAAAAAAGTAAATTTTCAATTTCTCATAAATATTTTCTTTACAATAAATTGTTCTTATTATTTTCTTTATAGAGTGAATAGCTAATTTTAATGGTTTCATTGTTCTCTTTATAGGATGAAGAAATTTTTTCCTGTGCTTTCTAGAGACAAAGCTACTTCTTCGGTAAATCTAGAAGCATCGGAAACTCAACATCCAAGTGAGAGTATTAAAGTTGTCGATTATGAATTATTGGAAACCGATCCAGGAATTAGGCCTCCAATTTCAAGCTATCATCCTGACATCCAAAATGAGGTAAGGAAAGCTTATTTAAAAATAGGTCGTCATAAACCTCCTTACAATTTTGTTTACCCTTGGTGTGTTCAAGGTAATCAAAGACGTAGATTTTGCAAAAATTGGTTTGATTTGTATGATTGGATTGATTATAGTGAATCTAAGGACCTGACATTTTGCTTGCCATGTTTTTTGTTTAAGAATGTCTCTAAATACGGGGGAGATCACTTTGTGACAGAGGGGTTTGGTGATTGGAAGAATTCTCACAGATTGGCTAATCATGGAACTTCTTCCAATAGTCATATTGATTGTGTGCATATGAGTTACGCTCTCATGAACCCAAACCAAAGTATTAAGGCTACATTTGTTAATCAAACTAAACAAATGAATTCTGAATATTGTGTTCGTGTAAACACATCTCTTATAGCTACTAAGTTTCTTTTGAGGTGTGGCATGCCATTTAGAGGGAGTGACGAGTCCTTTAACTCTTTATTTAAGGGGCCATTTCTTGAGTTGGTGGACACTCTAAAGGAAATTAACCCAGAGATAGCTAAGGTAATAAATTGTGCTCCAGGAAATAACTTTATGACTGCCCCTAAGATTCAAAAGGATCTTGCTGCTGCTTGTGCATGTGAAATAACTAAACAAATTGTATGTGATATTGCGGATGATGTGTTTTGTGTTTTGATTGATGAATCCGGTGACGTTGCTGGTAAAGAACAAATGGCTGTTGTTATTCGCTATGTTAATAGTGATGGTTTGGTAAAAGAAAGGTTTCTTGGGATTGTTAGTGTTAAAGAAACAAGTGCTAAGTCACTTAAGGAGGCACTTGAGAAGTTGTTGTCTATTAATGGCTTGATTTTATCTAGCATAAGGGGGCAAGGATATGACGGAGCTAGCAATATGCGAGGTAAGTTTGGTGGTTTGAGAACTTTAATTCAAAATGAAAATCCATCAGCTTATTATGTGCATTGTTTTGCCCATCAACTTCAATTAGCACTTGTTGCATGTGCTAAGACTCACAAAGATGTTAGTGGTTTTTTCGGTAAGGTCAATATGCTTGTTAATTTCATACGGTCTTCTAACAAGAGACAAGAATTGCTTCGGGACAAACAAGTATCTCAATTTGCTAAATTGATTGAAGAGGGTGAGATAGAGACTGGTAGTGGATTAAATCAAGAATCGTCTATTGCTAGAGCGGGTGACACTCGTTGGGGTTCCCACTTTAGGACTCTCACTAGTTTGATGACTTTATATGGTGCCATTATTGAGGTACTTGAAGAAGTCGGGAAAGATACGTCATTTGAAAAATATGGTGAAACTATGCTTTTGCTAGATGTGCTTCAGTCCTTTGATTTTATTTTCATGTTATACATGATGGTTGAGATTTTAGGATTTACAAATGATTTAAGTGTAGTGCTACAAAAGCGTGATCAAGATCTTTTGAATGCTTTATCACTTGTCAAAGCCACCAAACAGGAATTACAAGAAATGAGAAATGATGGATGGGAAGAACTTATATCTAAGGTTATGGAAATTTGCAATAAGCATGATATTGATGTGCCTGATTTGGATGCAGCGTACGTGCAAGGGAAGAAACCTAGACGACATGCTATCACTTCTAGTGTTTCTAATTTGCATCATTATAAGCATGATTGTTTATGTAGTGTTTTAGATTTGCAGTTGCATGAGCTCAATGCTAGGTTTGATGAAGAGAATACTGAACTTTTACAATGTGTTTCATGTTTGAGTCCCTCATCATCATTTGAATCTTTTGATGTGAAAAAATCACTACAAGAAAATTGGCAGATTGCGACAGGTATTTTTGTAGATTACGACGGTTAAAACCGTCGCAATTTGCTTTCCACGACGGTTGCTTTACCGTCGCAGAAGTGTGTGTCCCCAACCTATTTCGCGACGGTTACAAAAACTGTCGTTCAAGTTTACGACGGGTTGATACCGTCGTGACTATCTTTTGAGTTTCTTTTAATTATTGATGGCGACGGTTCGATACTGTCGTGAATATCTTTTGAAATTGATTAAATTGTTTATGGCGACGGTTCGATACCGTCATGACTTTTGTTGATTACGTCGGTTCGGTACTGTCGCCATGACTTTTGTTTATGTCTTGATTTTTTTTTTATTTTTCTATTATATATTTTTTATTTAAATTATTATCTATGTAAAAAATTTTAAATATAGTTTTTTTTGTGTTATTTTTTTCTTTAAATTATTTCTTCTTTAATATATTTATTTATAGTATTATTTTTTGTTTTATTTTCTATCACTTTGTAATATAGTAAAAATAATTTCAATAAAAAATATTTAACATCAAATAAGCATTATAATATCCAAAAAAATGTGTGTTCCATAATCATGTAAAATGCGAGTTCCATAATCATGTCAAGTAGTACAAAAAACCCAAAATATATCAATTCCTAATCTTATAATAATAAGTATCATTATGCCAAAAATACATGAGAAAGTTCACAATCTAATTATCTCGATCATAGCAAAGTCTAATTTGTCCCCCCTGAAGTTCCATTATCTCCAATACGGTAGCTAGACTCAGATGAACGTCTACCATCAGCGGGTGATTCCAATCCCTAAAAAAAGGTATTAAAATAATAATCTTTAAAATAATACTCATAAAATTTAACTTTAAATGCGTCAAATTAATATACCTGTCTTCCATTGGAATAGAGTTAGCAGTACCTCATGTAAAGGAAGGTTCAACCCAAGTTCAGACGAAGTTGATCGCAAATTGGCAAATCATCGTAAATCCCTTTCGGCTATACATGGAAGGATATATCCATCTATTTCTTGAACCAACAATCAGCATTTCAAACAACTTCCAAATTTTCATCCAAGAGGTAGCATATACCAATTCTTGACTAAGACTAATGACATGACTCGGAGCACAAATTCTTGAGTTACAAGAATAAGCATTTGAAATTAGATAAAGTACTTGTTCTCTCCGAAGGCCATTCGAAGTATACAGCGCATATATGATGGAGCTTAGTACGTTGAAATGGATACTGAGAATGAGCCCTACAGAAATTTTTGCAAATTCTTATTTTAAGTGCGTATCTAATTAGTAACCAGATTCAGAACTATAGCAGATAAACTTTACCATTAACATATAGCTTTCGTAGGTTCTGATTCGTATATTCTAAATTCTAATCAATATTGAGTATAGTAAAGGAACTGGAAGCAATGAATTAAATAAAATACTTGAGCACAAAGTCTGAATCAGCTGAGTGGCATTTTGGCTTCAAATAAGCACCAATCACTTGTAAAATGGTATCGTCCTTTCCTACAAGTGGGATGGACTAGCCTTTTCTGCTGGACTCAACCCTCATTAGTTGAAATGGACATGCATTTAAGACCATAACAAATAGGTTTCCATATAGAGCTATGTTTGGCCGATAGAGAAATACTTGGAATAGAGATATGGTTTTTAAAGTAAGTACATCAACATATCCCATTTGGTTAGCTTCACTCAATCAAACATCAGTATCCACATCTAAAAATCCCAATAAGTTACCTATTCCTGAACTTCAATAGGAACTAGGAAGAATAGACATACTACTCTCCTAATCTTAAACATAATCCAACTCAAAACAAGGAAGAATGGACATACTACTCTCCTAATCTTAAACATGATCCAACTCAAAACAGGGAAGAATAGACATACTACTCTCCTAATCTTAAACATGATCCAACTCAAAACAGAATGATTTCAGAAGTAGATAGATTCAAAATGAAGCTACACTGTCAAAATATCTAGTCACCAATAATCATATAAAAAATATAGGAAAAATAAACAAATAACTATGCTCCATAAGTAACATACCTCTATCTTTAAAATTTTCATACAAGTGCGAGAGTTCTGTGTAATTTGATGATGTCAAGCCACTGCCATTCATTCAAAGGAAATCATTCAATAGGAGGATCATAACATACCAGAAACTTTGACATAACTTTCAAGGTATTTGATTTGAACCTTCTCAAATAGAACTTGATTAGCAGAATTGACTAATCACTTCGGAGATACGCTTATATAGAACACACTATTTATTTTTAAATGAAGACTCACCACCTAATTTGTTAAATGAATAACACCGAATCCATCCTATCAGTTCGGCTTGAATAATGCCCCCCTCAATATTTGTAATAATTCTAAATTGCGGATGCGTGAATAAATGCTTGCAACCCATGCGGTTGCAATACATTGCGGAAACTTCTAAAACCCTAATACTATGTACTACAATGGAGAACTATCTGCTTAAGCATACCTAAAATTTTATGTTTGGATTGGTGGGATGTGATGGAATGAAATAAAATGGAGTGGTATATAATCAGATTCCCTTGTTTGGATTTGTAAATAATGGATAGTTGTGTATTTTTTATAAGTTGACGGAAGGGAACAAAACAATTTAGTTCATTCCATTGCTCCACTCCACTCCATTCCATAATATTCTATTCTGCTCCGCTCCTTTCTAATTCATCGATCCAACCATAACCTAAAGGGAAAGTGAGTGAAATTTCCCCTAAACATAACATTACAACTGAAAAAAAATAAGGCTTTCACACAAATATAAGGTGAATAAATCATACCATCGTGAAGCAACATTGACAATCAAGAGAACCTTCCCCTTGAATTTGCTAAGAGAAACATCCTTCTTATCAATATCCTGCACCACACAAAAATCACAATATCCTGCGTCAAAATTTAACTTTAACTTAGCTCTTTGGAAGATAAGGGGTAGATGATTCATCATGCATTCATGTTCTGATCTAGCCTATTGAAATCAACACAAAGCCAGCTCAGTTATCTTTCATCAAGAGATTCAAACAAACCATGCAATGCTAATATGAGAAACCTTGGACAGATTCTAATCATAAGGTTTATAATTTCACTTGATCCATTAGTTAGATTCTAACACTTGCCAATAAAATATTATAATCAGAAAGTCTTACTAGATTTATCTTAGATTTCAACTTTGGCAGACACTCTGTATCAATAATCATCATAGCATTTGCTACAAAATAGTAGTACTACTTGTTACAGAAGTGAAAATATCATGATACAAAGGCAAAGAACAACATATATGTTCTCTAAAGAAATAAAACCACCACCCCTAACAAATACATGGGTGGTAACAACCTCTGTGATTTATGAGTAACAGATTCAAATTAGAGTGAACAAACCAAAAATTTAATTCATACCGGGAAATTCCTAGCAAAGAAGAGAAAATTCTCCAAAGAAATAAAACCACCACCCCTAACAAACACATACAAATAAAAAATCATTAGCAACAACTAATTAACAATAACACAAGACCTGGTAATGAAAAAAATAAGGACAATATCTACCTAAAATTTGTTGATGGATCCTTCCCTTGTCAGCCCATTTCCTTCCACTGCTCAGATATCAAGCCACGAAGTTCTTCTTCAGGAAATGCAGCATTCCATAAAGCCCTAAGGGCCTCCTATAATGTATAATACATATGTAAATTAAAATCACAAGGAAAGAATAAGAAAAATACGGCTATTTAGGATTAAAAAATATATTTACATCAATAACTGTTGCTACATTGCTTACACATAGACTGAAAAATAGTAGTGATAGAAATGATACCTGGTGCTCAATTATAGAACTATCATATGGAACATGTATTCGTCTCTGTAGCCTCTGCAAGCATTCCTCCTAAGGATTGAAATTTCAACATTATGGTAATTTGTTGTGACTAAATTAGAAACATAAATATATAACAGAAAATGTAAGTAGAAAATGCTCCCAAATTTCATATGGTATACAGGGAGTACAAGTATATCAGCAACGTAAACATACAGCTGATTAGCAACTGGTAGTCAAAATTCTATCCAATAACAATATTTTCTTGCATCATCCAAACAACATACACGATTTGGAGGACAAACAGGAAAAGGAGCACATAACCAGAAATACAATAGCAAGTTACTTTCGTTATTTGGTAAGATCAATTCAAAGATTATCAATTCAAGAAAGTTACTTTTGTTATTTAAAGATCGCAAAATGTTCCTTATAACCAGTTTAAAAGATGTATTGTTTTAAAAAAAATTGAAGCATTCTCACTCCATACCACATTCTCTAAAAATATTGATTTCTTTTAGTTTTTGCTGGAAGATGAATAAGGCATAAAAGTTAACATAAATCAAAAGAAGCTTCTGTAATTATAGAAATAGTACCTGGGCTAGAGTTAAATAAAAAAAGCTAGAAGCATCACTATCTCTTCTCTGTACACATACACAAGACAGACTTCTACCAAGCCATGCTGCTGATCCTGCCACAACCTCAGCTGTAATGAAACAAAATTTCCTATCAATAACTACTCTAAGAGCTTTAATGATACAATTCATCCTAAGTTAATAAACAAGCAAGAGTTTGTTTCAGTAATTACATATTTCATCCTTACCACACAAAGTATTCAGCTTATTTGAACCACATTTTCATAAGAAAGAAGAATGTGAGTTTCTATAAATGGCTTTTTTTTCTAACAATTTACATAATTTACATTAGATTTCAATTAAAATCCTGAAAAAGGATCAAAACAACAACTGAACAACAACAACAATAATGACTAAATTGTGTAAAAGCATCTCCTTGAATTCAATTTCACAGCAAACAAAGAAATTGTCAATCACTTGGTTAATTTCCCAAACAATTTGTGTGTTCATAATAATCACAGCAAGCCTAACCTAAAAACCTCTCAAACAAAAAAAACAAAGCCAATTATAGATGAATTTCATGAACACCAGATCTATCTAGAGGGATAAAAAGGTAAAATAAATTAATAATGGAATTGAAAATTATTTTTTAAAAAATTTACCTACCAATGCAATTGGCTCAATGTTGTGAACCGTGTTTCTCGACCCACCGCATTTCTTAAGGTCAACAATAACCTTCTTACCCAAAACCCCTTTGTAGTACTCAAACAAACCCCCGAGCTCCTTTTCTAGGGTTTCGATTTAAGCTAACTTCTCTTCTGGTGTTCGTAGGTGCTGTAACTTGGAATTGACCTCTTTCTTCCGCTTCTGGGAGTTGGTTTTGGGGTGATTGGTTGTCGAATCTTGAATCGGTGGTGGTGCCGGATGGTGAAGTATGGATGGCCGGACGCTGGCTCCGCCACTGTGTAGAGGACAAGTTTAGGATTAGGATATTTAAGAAGTAATAAAGCAGTTTAGAATCAGCTAAAAGAAAGAATAAAATTTCTATAATCTAAATCTAACAGAGAAGCACAGGACTGTTATTTTTTCTCATTATTGCATAAATTAAGTAGTATAACTTTTTGACATATATTATTCATATGCATCAAATCCCAGTCAGGTTTCAGTATTGCTATTTAACTATTCAAAATAATCATTATACATTGCAACTTGTCAATAAACATATAGTATATATTTTTGCATCTAGGCTGTGTATAATATATTGATAGGAAAAGGCCAAATTTTAGAAGAAAAAAATGATAGAATTTTAACTATTCAAAAATTTTATGTATTTTAAGAGCTTTTTAACTTTTTTACGGCGACGGGTGTTTTACCGTCGTGCCCATGAGAATTTTTAAAGGTTTTGGGTGCGACGGTTGTTTTACCGTCGTGAAATGAATTTTAGGACGGATAATTTTACCGTCGTGAAAGGTTTAAGGGTGCGACGGGTGCTTTACCGTCGTGATATGCCTTTTAGGACGGTTAATTTTACCGTCGTGACTAGTTGTTGGTGAAAAATCAATGTTAAAAGTGTTAAATGGGGGCCGACGGTTGTTTTACCGTCGTAATAATAATATTATGATGGTTAATTATACCATCGCAAAATAAATATTAGGGACGGTTGGTGTCAACTGTCGTAAACACTGTCTCTATATGTCAATTACGACAGTTATCACATAACTGTCGCAATTTTTGTGTCGTTAAACACTAATTTTCTTGTAGTGAATTATTGAGGATGGTTGAACTTTATCCAAATGATTTTGTAGATGTGCCGGAAGTGGCGGTACGACATCAACTTCAGAATTATGTTAGAAATGTTCGACGTGATCCAAAATTTGCAAATTTAAACGGACTTTTAGATCTTTGTGCAAAACTTGTGGAAACAAAAAAATGCAACACTTTTGATATAGTTTATAAGCTTCTGAAGTTGGCTTTAGTCTTGCCAGTAGCAACTGCGAGCGTGGAACGTGTTTTTTCAGCTATGAAGTTTGTGAAGAGTCAGCTATGTAACAAAATGGGTGATCAATGGTTAAATGATCGTCTTGTAACTTTTATAGAAAGAGATGTTCTTGGAACAATTAACAATGATGTTATTTTAGCTCATTTTCAAGAAATTGATACTAGACGGTTTTCATTGTAAATACACTTCATCAAACAATATTATTTTTTATTTTCAATATATTTTAGTCGATAATTTCTTTTATGTTTAGCCACACCAATATATAAAGTCTGGATCCGCCCCTGGCTCACCATAACATGTACAAAGATAACATAACTGAAAATTGACACATTTGCACATGCCACTCCTAGGGTACGCCTCACTTGGTTGCCTCGAACGTGGTCATTGAGTATAGGAAGTTTTAGAGGTCGCCCTCTTGTCCAAAGATCATAAGTTGCCTCGAAACGGTTACCTCAGATAAAATGATCTAAGACATTAGGGTTACCGCTAAGGCGTCTTAACATTGCTTTAGTGACCACATGTCCCTTAATCGAATTGACCCGAAAACTCCAACGACGGTGCTACCTACTCCTCAATAGTGGGATAGCACTGTCTAAAGGACATTTGCACAGTTTAATTCCCTTTTGAGTAGGTAGATGTTCTTAAGTATTTGCTCCTTTTAAAACAAAAACAAAACTTTTCGCACCTACACTCTCTTCAAAACAAAAATTCTTTTCAAACCCACAATCACAAAGAAAAGCAAACTTTTGAAAACACAATGAGCAAGTACCTAAGAGCACGTGGATAACCACGGATAGAAATAGTGCTAACACCTTCCCTTTCTATAATCTACCTCCCGAACCCGAGAAACATCTCGAAAAGGAATTTTTCTGTGCTTTTGTCCTTTCCTTGTTGGATAAAATAAAAGACGGTGGCAACTCTTGCTTACCGCGACATTTTGCGAAAACAAACGCAAACGTGAACCAACATTCCAAAAGAGTCAGTTATATTTCCACCGATCACAGAACTGACGACTCTGCTAGGGATTCCTAAATAAGTGAGGTGTACCTTAGGATTAGATCACTTGTGTTTTCAATTGTATGCTTTGTATGCTTTAAATTTTGTGGGTTTGTATCGGCGTTTTATAGATCCTAACCCGGATCTAGGGATACCCTTTAGAAGTAGCAACAAACTGTGAGGGAACTGTGTGGGGTATACCGACATGGTTGAAGCAGTAGCTATGTTGATGTGGCACTTTGGTGAGTACCGGTAACCCTTGAGTCAAGTCAAGGAGAGTACGGGGCCGCCGCGTGGTGTCGTGAAGCATCAATTGACCATAGAACCTTACTTGACCATCTTGGCCTTTTTAGGAGTAGTGAGATGACCGACTTTGGTGCAGTCCGAAGTTGGTAGATACTCAATACTACACTCATTGAGGGTTGTTTTCTTGGAATATTTTGGTCGCCAGTTAAGTGGTTAAATCAAAACAATGAACATAGAAAACAATCCAATGATATTGAGCTCCTTAGAACCCGGTTACTATTTATAGGACAGGTTTTGAGCCAACTAACTTCAAGAGGGTACTTACCTACGAACCCCATGCAAGCCTAAACCTAAGGACTTGTTTGCTTTGTGTGAATATGACTGCCTATATATACACTTGCTTACTTTTGCATACATGCACATAACATCATAAAGCATCATATGCATCTGCTAACCATTTCAAGGGTTTGGATCTTCATCTTTATTCTTGTTTTGTAGGACATGGAGTCTCTCCGCAGGAAAACAATTCAAGTCAACCTTGTAAGGATCCATCCTCAACTCAAGGAGCTTACATCCAAGATTCCCGAGAACTCTCTCTTCAGTGAAAGACATGGTAGACTCCTCAGCTTGGTCAACACCAACATTAAAGAAGACATGATGAAAGTTCTCTTCTAGTTCTTTGACCCCCTACACCACTGTTTTACATTCCCTGATTATCAATTGGTGCCTACTTTGGAGGAATTTTCTCAACTTCTGAGAATTACTATTCTTAGTCAACTACCCTACAACGGTACAGAAAAGGAACCAAAACTTGAAGATGTTTCTCAAGCATTACGTTTGCAACCATCTGAAATCAAGGGGAATTGGGAAATCAGAAGTGGTATCAAGGGATTCTTGGCAAAGTTTCTGTTTGAGAACGCACAAGAATGTTGGAATTCTCTTGATCTAGAAGCCTTTGAAGAGGTTGTGGCACTCCTTATCTATGGGTTGGTGTTGTTCTCAAATCCTGATCAACTTATAGATGTGAATACTGTCAAGATTTTCATGTCCAGGAATCCCATACCTACATTGCTTGGGGACATCCTCCACTCATTTTACACACAAACAATGAGGAAAATAGGTGTTCTCATGTGCTGTACTCCTTTCCTAGCAAGGTGGTTTATGTCTCACCTTCCATAATCAGTTTTGAAGAATGAGCAGGGTTTAAGGTGGGCACAACGATTGATGACCCTCACACATTCTGATGTACATTAGTGTTCTCGGTCCAGAGAAAATGTCACTATCATTGATCGTTGTGGAGAATTTCCTAATGTTCCTTTACTTGGAATTAGGGGAGGCATTACCTACAACCCCTGTCTAGCTTTGAGACAATTTGGATATGCTCGGAGGGATGGCCCTCATGACATGCTGATTCCTGATATAGTTTTTGACTTTGACAATGATGCGCAAGGACTTCGACAAAAGTTCATCAGAGCTTGGAGGATGCCTAACAAGGTGGATAGTAAGACACTGGGGCACAAGAATTCCGTCCCCCTTGAGCCTTACCTCAAGTGGGTACGAACCCGCTCCCAGAATCTTATGATGCCATATCCTCACATTCTCCCCTTGATCAAAGAGCTTGTTATGGAAGGAGAGGTTCCATACACCATTCTACATCCTGACATGCCAACGTCATGGGAAGAAATGCAAAAGAGTTGGATCCAACTCAAGGAAGAACGAATTGCTTTTGAAGCCAGCTTACATGCCAATGAGAAGAAGGTTTTGGAGCTCACCCACCGACTTCACGAGGAAGAGACCCTCAACACTTACATCGCTCCAAAAAGGATGCGCAATGTCTTTTTACATTAAGTATTTTATAATATTTCTCCCATGAGGCACTTATGTACTAAACAAATTTCTTCTTAATATGACGTGTGTTCTTTTTTTGTCTGCAACGAATTTGAATTTTTGA